AGGTTAAATACGTTAGAAAATATATCTTTAAAAAAGCCACAACCGTAAAAATGTGAACTACAATTAGCTTAAGCGACGTGTGAAAGTCCATAGAAGATAGTTCAAGTAGACAAAATTATGTGATAAAAATGCATTAAGACAATATAGCAAACCCACCAGCTGAAATAAAAAGACTTAGCATGCAAGCACGCGGTCAGTAAATCGAATGCAACGTACCTACAAACGCTGTGCCGGTTCCGCCAACGTTCCCTTCAGGACCCGTCGTCGCTTCGGTGGTGGTCCCAATTGGCCTCGCTCAAGCCTCACTAGGCCTGCTCGACTCAGGCACTCGCAACCACATGTGCTACAACACCATGCGCTCGGTGTCGATGGAGTACGACCCATCGGCACCTGTCGCTTCCGCACTTGCCGCTTCTTCTCTGCATCCACAAGGGCTTTCTCTTGCAAGTCGGTAACTACCTTCGTGATCAGATGGCACCATGCACACCCATCAACTGCATTCAATTCCCAGGACGACGTGAGAGGCACACTGATCATGTCCTGGTAACGTAACTTCCGTTTCCCCACATGCCGTCTTCCAATACTCAGCTGACCATGTAAGAGTTGTTTCGGTATTCACGTCGAATCCATACGCCACACATGACCGAGCCACCACAATTGTCACACCAATAGTATGCAGTCCACTGCATACATTCCACTTCGACGTAACAATTCTGTGTTCGCAAATCTGTCGCACAAACAGATACACAGAATCCGTCGCAAACATGGTTGATGGAACCGCTCAAGATATCTTACCTCTCGCTGGTACGTCGTCCAGGTTTCGCTGCCGTATAGAACAACGGACAGCACCATGGATTTGTACACCATCAGCTTCGTGCCAACGGTAAGCTGATGGTTGTTTCACACTCGGTACGCTAGCTACCCGAATGCCGCCGCTGCCTTCGACACGCGAATAGGAAGCTCATTGTGTAGCTTCTGGTCAGCAGACATCACACTCCCAAGGTAGCAGAAGCGGGAGGTGGTTTCTAATACTTCAGCACCAATGTTGATTTGCGACAATATTGAAGACTGCACCACCGGTGAAGAAGGAAAAAGACAGACAGTTTTGTTTGTGTTGATGGTGAGCCCGAATTTGGCCGCTGTCGAAGCCAGAGCACTAATGTGCTGCAACTCATCCGCGCTGTGTGCAAACAACGCACAGTCGTCAGCAAACAGCAACATACGGATAGTTGCCTCACAGACTAGGGTTCTCGCACCGAAACGACGGATGTTCAGCAAACCACCATCAATACAGTGCTCCACACGAACACCGTAAGCACAAGCGGCATCAAAACCACACGACCTCATTGTATGAAGATAAATATTAAACAGCGTTGCTTCACACCAGAGATAACTGCAAAGTCATCCGAGGTTTCTCCACTCAGTTGTACCCTCTCCCACATACCACTGTGTAAAAATTCAATTAAACCTACAAACTTCTGCGGGCAACCAAACTTACCCAACACTAGCTACAATGCCTCGCGATTCACCATATCAAATACTTTGGGGAAATCAACAAAAAGCGAGTACAACGGCTGGTGTCGTTCTCTGCACTTCTCCTGCAACTGTCGAGCCGCAAACATCATATCAACAGTGCTGCGACCCGAACGGAATCCATATTGCTCTTCCGCCACGTTCGGTTCCACAACCTGACTGACGAGGCGGTTGAGCAGGATTCGGGCAATCACCTTGCCCACACAACTCAGCAAGTTGATGCCCCGATAATTCGTGCAACATTGCTTGCTACCTTTGCCCTTGTAGTGGTAGCACAAGTGCATCCTTCAGCTCAGCAGGCACCTACTCCTCTTCAATCCACACGCGTTGCACCAAGTGGTGCAGCGCAGTCAACAACGCCGGTCCGCCGTGTTTTAATACTTCAGGCGGGATCCCGTCGGACCCAGCACACTTGCCGTTTCGCAATTGAGCAAGTGCTCTCTGCGTCTCATCCAGTGGCGTCGTGTTCGCCAGACTCGGCTTCACATCGTTCTGCTTCAGGCAGTTCAATGTAGGCCAGTCGGCCGGTGGCCGAGCGGTCGGCACGTTTGCTTTCCAACCATAAGGTCACCGGTTCGAATCCGCGTAGGGGTGGGCGTCCTCGCGGTATACTAAGCCCGCGCGCGACTAGTGGTGGTCGCGCGGCAGCGAAGCGCCGTTACGGCGTACAAGCTGACACCTTTCCTTTTCTAGTCGATCTCTGAACGGTTGTTCATGAGACAGCCAAAATATTTTTGCCAGCTTTGCATTATGTCTGCAGTCTGTGTGCAGGTAGCGCCTGAACTACCATCGATCAGCGTCCTCAGCGGCTCCAACCTCGTTCCATACACCGCCTTTAAGAAGTCAAAGAATTCCTTGTGTTGGCGGTGTTTGGTGTAGTATTCTATCTGCTTCGCCTTTTCCGTCCACCATGCATTTTTATGTGACGGAGCTCGCGGATCAGTCGCCGTCGAATACCGCTAAACTTTCTCTTATTCACTAAGTCACAGCGGACTGCCACATGAGCAGCAAATGCTGCATTCTTCTGAAACACCAAACGTCGCATTTTGCGCATCAAACCAATCAGACCGCTTACAGTTTGAGCGCCCGATGGTCTCCTCAGCAGCAACTGTCACCTGGTCGCGAATGTGGTGCCACAGGTCGCCTACTGTGTTTATGCAGTCCACATCACACAGGAGTGCAGCCATCGCCTTCTCCAGTTCAATACGTTTCTCCACAGTACTGAGGGAGAGAATGTTAAATTTACGCCGGTTTACAGCGAGAGTGTAATACATAGATTTATGAAAATATATGTACAGTTTGATCCGCACCCATTTGTGATCAATGCCACAGTCAGCTACACGCCAACCACATATATATATATATATATATATATATATATATATATATATATATATATATATAATACAGCAGTGTACCTCGACAACAAGGTGCCTTCGATTCGGTGGGCAGATGTGCCCTTTAGAGTTGTGTGCGCAAGAAATATGTAAATATTATCAAAGCCATTTACGCGCGTAGCTCGGACAGAGCTAGGGCTTATGACAAATTGTGACCGCCCTTCAATAGCTTCAGCAACGTGAGACGAAGTTGCCCGTTGTCATCTTTCCCTTTTAACTTCGTCGTTGACAAAGTCATGGAAACGGCAATCATTGGACACAAATTAGGTGTGGAGCTGCTTTCGAGTGAGCTACTTGGAGTATGCCGAAAACAGTGGCCTAATCTGTTACAGAGCACAAAGGTACTAAGCAGACCTGGACAGATTAGTGTCTGCTGTCAGTATTTCCGAAAAATGTTTTATACCTTCGGAATGCAAAGTCATCCTCCAAGATTGGCAGGGACCCACCTCTGTGTTGAACCTTAGCTGTGAACGGTTAAATGTTGTTCAGAAATGCAAACATCTAGGCAACTATTTTGGTGCCTGTGGGATCAAAGATGAGATCACGAACCGGATAGCAATAGTTCGAGGCGCTTTTGACAATCTCCGCCACCTATGGCGTCGGCGTGGTATCACTCTCGCCCCGGAGAATGCAGTCTACAACGCAATCATGCGTTCAAACTTCCTGCGAAACTTGGCCCATCAAGTCGACAGACATAAAGAGGCTAATAACGTTCGATCATCGGTGCCTTCGCAGTTTAGCTCATGTCTGATGGGAGTATCGCGTGAGCAATGAGCGTGTTCGGTGCAGGAAGAGCGAGTGAATCGCTCAGTACCGTTATATCACGCACCAGGCTTCGATGGCTGGGTCACGTGTTGCGCATGCCAGCACACCGACTCCCGCGACGTGCGTTGTTTGCGGGACCGGGATCCGGACGGAAGAAGAGGCGTGGAGGTCAAGCGATAACTAGGTTAAAAGGAATGAAAACCCGCACTTCGAAGTTGGTGTCGGTTTGTGTCTCTCGACTGTCGGACTGAGGTTTTGTTGAATACACTGGTTGACGTGGTGAAGAGCCGACCTCAGTGATGTTTGTGTTGTGAGTTTCTCTGTCCCCCCACACGCTTAGCTTCCTCCTCGAATCATGAGCTCACATTAAACGCATAATATGATACGTAGGATAGATAATGTTACTTGGTTTGGGCATTTATTCTGTATTTCGCAATGTTTCGTGTCCTGTTTTTCATATCTCATTTTTGTATTGTAGCACAAGAGATTCAACTTAGTACCTTCACCTAATGTGTAATGATGATGCTGCTGCTCATGTAGGAGAGATGCTTGACGTCCAATACAGCCAGAACATAGGTGGTGTACGCAATAGAGAACAGGTCGATGTCCAGAGCCCCAAGAGTGTGTTTACTGTATTCGTAAATCTGGTCAATGTAATTTGGATGGAATTGATAGCAGTGTAATTGGTTGTAAAGCATCAGGTATTCAAATAAATTTCAGTTGGCAGACAAGGTGATGCACTACGGAAAATAAAAGAAGACGATAACAGTTCTTCCGGGCCAAATTAGACGTGTATAGTCAATATATGTTAGAAAAGTCGGCAGTAGCAGTTTAGAATTTCCCTGCCCGTGTTGTTTGATTTGTGAAGGTGATTGGCAGGTTGCGTTCCGTGCGATGTGCATCATACGATTGCTTCCCAAATCGATGTTGGTCAGTATTGATCTGCTAAGCAATGTGGTTCAGATGCGGCGAAAAGCTCTATATCTCTCTGGGAATTCAGAGCTTGGAGTGGATGGTGCTGATTACAGCTCAAAAGAGAGTTGGTGAACCGAAGTGATCGTTATCGCCTAATTATCGCTTACCACAAATGAGGCGATTTCGCATCCATAACAATAAACCAGGAGATAATCAATGTATTCAGGCAGTGAAGTGAAGTGGTAACTACTTCCACAGGCAGTATAACAAGGTTGATGTAAATAGTGTTGGTAAAAATACCGAAAATTGACGCTTGTTAGGTACAAGAACAAGTATTTTATCATCGGTTTGAAAAGTATGACGACAACAACAATGTAATCACCGAGTTCCTTACTTTATGGTTGCATCCTCGGATGCCGTGAGCATGTGCCTGTCCATATCACACCAAAGAGCCCGACGAATAATTTCAGTGTGCGCGACAACACGTGTGACAGCTGCCCAAGAGAAAAACGTGCAACAGTGTCGAGAAACTAAGCAACATGTAAAACATGCAAATGAAAAAGCTGGTTCAAAATGGGTCCATGATCAATCTATCGAGAGAGTGATAACCACATTCCACGCAGTTGGCCTGCGTCCGAAACGACCTATGATAGATGACTGTCTGCTGACCCGGACCCAGTGCATGCGTTCGATTTCTTCTTGACCTGTATACTGAATACCGCATTGTGGGAGCAAGTAGAAATCTGAATCTGTATAACTCCGTCGAAATATGACAAAAAACGTTAAAAAAGCAAACTGATCGGTCAATAGTCGGATCGTTTTCACGTGATAGCGTAAAAAATCGTTTAACTCACAGTAGGGTGGGACTCAAAAGTGTGAGATGTCTGTGGGTAATCGTTTTCGGAATGTAACACTTGAGAAATGTACGTCAAACGATCGTTTGAACTGCTGAACTGAGTTCGCTTCCACTATATGTTCCGGCAAATTGTTCCAGACATTTGTCACTCGCCGTTTCAAGCACTGAGGATGGGAAACTCACTGCAGATCTAGAACAACAAGCTTGTACTGATGTCCTCGTGTGTGGAGAAGTCACCTACATGTGGTATTCGGTAGGTCATGATGTGGTCGACTCGTCAGTTTCAAGTTATGGCACCTGTCTTCCTGCGGTAAGTCCCATAAATTGGGGATGAGTCTGGTAGCGACATGCTGAACCTGTTCAATCTACTGCACCTCGCCGCGAGTAGTCGGGCTATAGGCGGGCGAATAGTCATCGGCCTGATGACGGAGGTGAGTGGCAACCTCTTCAGATCAGATGCAGAAACTGCGGTGGAGTGCCCAGAGCATGCGCAGTCTGTTACGATATAGCCTGTTCTTGTTGTCAACGGACTTCGAATCACAACGTGAGAGTACTCCTAGATCCTTCACGGAAGGTGTAAGATGTAGCAGTTGGCCGTTCAGATTGTAGGTTCGGCCGTCACCACCCTTCCCCAGCTTCATGAATACCGATTTGGATGGGCTGATCGGGAGGCGGACTTTTGCAAACCACATGGAAAGCCGGTTTAGGTCTTGATGAAGTAAGCTGCAGTAGTCCGATGTGCATATAACTCACCACATCTACAGATCGTCTACAAAAATGCACATGGTGACCAAAGAAACTGAGGTAGGTCACCGATATAAATCAGGAACAATGTGGGCTCCCGCACCGTACCTTGGGGTACGCCACTGGTCGAAGGATGGCGGTCGGGCAGGTGGCTATCGACTTGCAACCTCCACTTTCGTTCAACCAGAAAGTCCTGGATCCACTAGTGAAAAGATCCACCAACACCGCAGACTCTCAGCTGGAAGAGTGGGACTAGATGGTTCGAACGCTTTGCTGAAATCAATGCAGAGTGCATCCTTTAAGAAACTTGAAACATTGTGTCCTCTTCAACCACTTCAGTAACGCAGTAAGAAGACATAGGTTGCGATATGTTGACATTTCGATTGCTCTTGTCAGTCGCGACGCAATACAGGCAGAACAAAATACGCGTTAAATACGGTTCACAATTAGTAACATAGGCAAACACACAAAACTGAGGTGAATGACGTAATCAGGTCCATGGCAATCTAATTGATTGCCTCAGTTGTTTCTAGGCACAGAGTGCAGGACAATTCAAATTTACCAGTAGCGTCTCGCTAACTGCCAACAACAGGACAGCCTGCCATTTCGGACGTGTTCATTAAAAGAAAGACCGAAGCTACACTGCTGCGCACTGTGTACAGAAAAGCGACCTGGGGGGGGGGGACAATACCAACACTTTCAGCTTTGCTCCAGTTGCATAAAAGCCCCGTAAAACTCACTTCTACAGGGCCATGCGAATTTGCAGTCCAGAAACGCTGAAGAAGAGTTTTTATGTGGGAATCTGCTGTCCAATGGGTATCCGGAGAAATTCATTCTGACCCATAGCAGACCCCAAGGGGAAGTTGCCAGTACAAACAGCGGAGGAGGTTTATTTGTTTTTACCGTTCAAGGAGGATTATGTGGCAAATGATGTTGGTCCCAAGCTCAGGTCCACTCTAATGCGCACCTACTCTACCGCCCAACTACAACTTATCCAACCTGCACGAAGGATTCCTCTCCACAGCCGTCCGAGCACCGCGCCAATCAGTTCGGCCTCTAACATCATCTACCAGTTCACTTGCAGTTGCGGTGACATTTACATCGGCAGGACTGGTCGCCGGCTGGCTCAAAGAGCGGCTGAAAACTTCCCATTCTGACTAAGACCGTTGCTGTCTAACCAAGACGGACTGGACCAAAGAATGAACCGGAACCCTGCCTCGTCTATCACTAAGCGCCTAATGATGACTCGTCACCAGGTGAACCCATTCGATTCATTCAAAGTGCTATTGCGCAACAGAAAGCCGAAGTTGTTGGCAATTAGCGAGGCGCTACTGGTAGATTTGAATTGTCCTGCACTCTGTGTCCAGAAACAACTGAGGCAATCAATTAGATTGCCATGGACCTGATTACGTCAATTTTGTGCGTTTGCCTATGTTACTAAGTGTGGACCGTATTTAACGCGTATTCTGTTCTGACTGCATTGCGCCGCGACTGACGAGAGCAATGGATAGGTCAACATATGTCTTCGTACTGCGATAATAAAACAGATTACATCGACAGAATTCCCCTGGTTAATAACCTTCAACCATGCATGCCTCGTCGCGAACAGTTTCGTGGTGCATGAACGACCTGGCGTGAAATCGTGCTGCGCTGGCGTTAGGAGATCCCATGACCGAAACAGCCGTAGCAAACGCTTCTTCACCATCTTCGCTGCAACCTTGGCCAAAATTGGTGTCAAACAAATTGGCCTGTAGTTGTCTACTTTGGTGGGATCATCGTATTATAGAATCAGCCTTACTCTCGAGCATTTCCAATCAATCGACAATGAACTTTCGGATGTAGACTCGTTGAACAGGTCAGTTATAGCAGGCGAGATTATGGCCGATAAGGACTCGAGAGTCGGTGGGTGGGATTCGTCAGGCCCAGTAGGCTTGGTGCCGTTAAGATTGTCGAGTAGCTGACGCACCTCCTCCACACCACAATCCAGACCGTCGAGTTCGCTAACAGTGGTGCACGCCGAACTCGGTACAGACACCTGGTCATTTGCAAACACGGACGCAAGGTGTGCTGCTAAAGTGGACACGCGCTCAATACTGGAGGTTGGGGGCTGACCATCCGCGTCCTTTGTAACTGATAGGTCACCTGTGGGATTGCGGCACTGCTTCACGTACTTAAAGATTTCTTCGGAACGGTTTTTGCTTCGGTTGCAAGCTGCTCCTCGAAACGCTTGCACTTGCTCGTTTTCCCAATGTTAAAGATATTTCGCTGTTTTGTATGCACTTCCCAGTCGTCGACCGAACCAGATAAGGAATTTGCCCCGCCGAGCCAGCTTACTATATTCCTTATCGAACTAAGGTGGTTTGACCATTATCATCATCATGATACACGTTAGCTAGAGGTGGGAAACACCTTAGCTACTGTGTCGCAATACATAAAAGAAAAAATGGGAAAATGCAACAGGAGCAAGCCAGCAGAGCTACCGGCAATGGATGGCCATCGTTCCAGCAAGCTACCAGCCTGCTACTATGTAGCAAAAAAAATTACTATGCAAAATTATATAAGGTTAAATAGTGAGATTGTGGTGGTGCCTTGACCGGGCCGACTTTGCGACACTCGGGAGGCACAAATTGGTTACACAATGAGTTGACGCCATTCTTTACAACTGGCCAGTAAGCTTCAGCGGATGCAGATTGCGATAGAAATCAAAGCACTTGGCTCACGGTTCGAGTCAGACCGTCGAAATCCGTCTTCCAGTAGTTGTAATCTGGCTGAAGTGCGTGGGATTGTTGCGGTAATAGATCCATGTTGGCAATAAGTGTCGAGCGATCGCTTGCTGTCAGAGGCTCCAGGATCCGAATGTCATACACAAGTAGTAAACAGCTGTTCAACATCAAGTCATATCACAATGGAGTTAAGCGCGGTGTTACGCGCGTCGGTTGGCAGATGTATTGTGCCGCCCCAGTTTCAAGTATCATATCAGCGAACTTTGCTTCGGCCTCACAATATCCGGTGGTAAGTCTAAATTCAGGCCAGTGTATTCAAGAACAATTGTAACCCCTATGATTAAAACATGACGACGACTCATGTGGTCTTGAAGATACAGAAGCCGATCCAAACAACGGCCCAGGTGAGTGCGATAAAATGCACCTGCGAGTAGCTCTCCGCGCCTGAAGTATATTGAACACCACAACCGCTCACACGGGCCATCTTCGATTTGGTGGGCGTACACAAGTCTCCCATATAGAGATGATCGGATGTATAGCAAGACGCCACTGTGGGCACTCGATAGCCATCACAACGGGAGTACGAGTAACCACTAAGCTCTACTTCCTGGGTGAGTACCTTATCGTTCAACCACGTCTCTGCAAGTCCCATTACATCTGGTCGCTCGAAAGTAACGAAACGGACAGTTCATCGTGCTTTTCATAAGACTGTAGATGTTGGTAAAGGCTATACGCAGGTTGTGATAATAAGTACCGGGCGTGCCTGAAGACTGGGGGACCGATGTATCCGAATTCGCGTTCGTGTTGTAATCACCCGACAATTTACAATACGTAGATTCGTTCCTCCATCACCAGTTCGCCGCTTTAGCTCGATGATGGCACACCTGAGGTGCTCCTGGTCAGTTGGATCGATGTCCGAACGAATATGCACGCTATCGCCTCTCAGTTTACTCAGCCGAGACAGTATTAACTTCAAGCTAGCCTCGTCGGTAAAAGTTACTCGCATAGGTCGGTCGTTCTCAGAGGTGTCTTTGCCGATGCGGATGATTCGCTTCATTTTCACTCCGTCCTCACCCACATCGAGGAGCCTAGCAACCAGGATCTGTAGAAACTAGACGTCATAATCATAGCGTTCCTGAAGACTTGGACCATTGGATTCATGCGCGTGAAAAACAATCAGATTCAATCACCTCCTGTCATTCAAAGTGGTTCCTGCGGGAGAAGGGTGGAGTCGAGCTTCGCTTGACTTGGCCTGTTGTTGGTCAGTAGCAGGAAGCTTATCTTCGTTCCGCGGCTTCTTCCGTCGCCGAGTTTTCCAAGGCTCCTCACCCATTGGACATTCATCTGGGTCTTTAGTTAACAAAGCGCAAAGTCAGTGGATCATTAGCCTCAGTTGGTGTCAGGTCTCCAGAAAAGGTAGGATGCCGAAGTAATGAGTTGTCAGGGGGATATGAATGGGAAGAAGGCTGGGTTGAAACTTGGATGGACTCTAGCCCAGTTTGCCGGACGATAAGTCTAGAACTGCTCACGGTTAAACGTTTTTGGTCACGATCTGCATCGATAGAGGTTATACGTTTCTCCGGCTTCCTTAGACTGCAACATTTGTTGCACAAAATTTGGATGAAATCATGTTCAATGGAACGCAGAAGACGATACGAATCGGCAGGTGATCTAACACACAAACATGGAACCTAGCACAACAATCAAAGCATGTAAGGACATTCGCCGAGTTTCCCACAATTTTTGAGCAGGAAGCACAAGGTGATTTGTTCGGCATTTTGGAAAAATGATGACAAAGTGCCGTAAAGTGAGAGTAGAATTTGAAAAACGAATTATCAAATCTGTAGGAAAACATCACATAAAATATGATCCAGAAACTGCAGATTCAGAACTGACATTGAATGATGCCGAAATTTCCAACATGCCGGTAAATGCACAAGAGGGTATCCTGACAACGCACCCGCGGAATAAGCAAACGCAGTCCTATAAGTGATTCCGTTGCTGCCCAGCGATTGCTTTGGATGGGAGTGACAAAGAGTGTGTTATGTGCGATATCAGAAGTAGCAGCATTTAAATAATTCTGGTATAAAATAAATCGTGGCTACAACTCCTGCAGTGATCAATTCCAATTGAACAGTTTGGTTCCATTTAACTGCCCCCACTCATATATTCCCCGATGAAATCAGTAGCTGGATGAAAACAGTCATCCGCCCGATGTTGAGAAGGAGTGTTACAATGACCCTAGCCTTTGAGTCAACTGGGCGATCGGGATTACCACGTCAGCGCATTGACACGGTATTATTATGCGAAGGCAAGGTAGAAAGCTTATAGGGGAATCTGGACGTCTTGAGCCAATGGTAGAAGGATTGCATAACTTACACTAAATTGGCGAAGAAAAGAATACTTCTGAACCGATAGGATCCGAGTGGGTGCTCCTCGTTAAGACATAGCAGTGAAACATGTGTGGGTTTAACATGTGTTCATGCGATCAGCCGTAAGAACCCTAGCCGATTCAGTTGCAGGAGCATGAGTGAAAACCGGTTGCACGAATATAAAACAATTCTTCGGAGCATTTCCTGACGCAACACAAACAGCATTTCGCAATGCCAAAAAATGACGATGTAAGCACTGCTATTACCAAATTGGTCACCTGCGTTTTGTTCGCATGAACTACGGAGCAAAGTACGAATCAAGGTCGTACGATGGTGGGACTTCTATCTAAAGTTGCAACATCTAAATACTGGGTTTTGGCCGCCCGGAAACACTGCACTCCACGTCTAGTTACAAACTTGTTTGGTCTCATCAGGTAGAGAGACAGCGGGTACTCGAACCCGGGGGCATTAAGATGTTAGTTGAAATCTCTACCCCTTCGGTCACCGAATCACGACGAGTAACATGTTCGTTAATATTGGAGGACACGTAGACACAGTGACAAATGCAAGATGCGCATAACGATAAAATAGAAATGAGTCGACAACCTCCAGAAGTAGCGAGAAAAGGGATACAACTTACGACAGGTGGCGTTGTTTAAGTCATAGACAGACAGCTCCTTTCGATTGTTTGCTGTGAGCAGAAACGCGCCGGAATCAGTTTTGCTCAGATCGACACAACGCACAATATGGTCCTCTGCGATAGATAGCAGCTCTTGACCAGAACCAGTATCCCATAATTTGGCAGTGAAATCTGCTGCTCCCGTCGCAGCTTTCGTCGCGTGATAATCTAGTGCGCAGGACCAGACAGCTCCTTGATGACCAATGAATGTGCCAATCCAGTCACCAGTATCACCCTGCCGAAGAATCGCCCGGCCATCTGAGTGGATAAATAGGGGATAAATGTGAGACGGTATTTGGAGGATAAGCGAGACGGAGATCAACGGCTGGAGTAGGCGGTCGACAACGCAATTGTGCGCTTAACTGTATCTGAATATGCAAAGGTCTGTACGAAATTAGTGGTTACCCAGAAAAAGTCATATAGACGTCCAAGTGATGGCAAGTTGAGTAAACGTTATGCAATTCAGTATAGGCATTAAGCCACACAATATGGCGGCATATCATGCACAATAAATCAAGCCCACGTGTCTTGTTCACTCAAAAGTAAAGATAATTATTAAAGGAAAAAGTTTTCACAGTAGATTCAGGATAAGCTCCACCTAATTTCAGCCGTATAAATAAATAAAATGGCGTGTTATTTCAAGTTTCGAATACAAACCAAAAAACTGATTTGCATTCAAAAGCTGAAATCATGAAATCCTAATCGGTTGCAAGCCTACTCCGAGATATCGAAAAAGGTGCAGAAACAAAAGCAAGCTGAGTGACTAACACGAAAAGGTGAAAATAAGTACGCCGGAACCCCTATGGGTGCATTGCCGACAGTGAACCAACAGTTGCAAACGGACAAGAATATTGGGAGGTCGACTACACGCGAGCAGCCACTGGTCAAATAAGTGAGCGCCTAATGCCAGGCAGCCACTGATGGCCAAGAAAAATCTGGGAACGCACGCAAACATATCAAACACAGATAGTTGGGCGAACAATAAAAAGACAATGGGACAAAATGGGCAACGTACACGAGACGTAAACTTCGTGTAAAGGAAAAACGATCGGGAAAAATGCACAAGGTAAAGGATCCCGATTTAAATTTCCTACCTTTAGCAGCAGAAATAAATAGGGAACCACAATCAGATTCCGCGCTGAAGTATAGATCTACCACAGGTCTTGAGTGGCCAGGACACGAAATTGGAGCTTGTTTGATGGAAGGAGATACTGTCGCAGTGACTGGTTGTGCTTCAAGCTCCGGGGTACTAGCGGTTGACATAGAGCCGCTAAAATGAACACATATAAGGGTGATGACGAGTAACAGCTGTTGCAATGCGGGTTGTGCATACTGTTGTCTAATAACTCATTGGCACAGTAATGTCACATTGCGCACGTTCACACAAAGGTATCCTAATTCAGTTCAGTCAAGCAGCCATGATCCGAGCACCAAAGTATTTTGGATCTAGTTGACGCAAATCGTATTACCATGATAATGATAACTGACAACGGCAACGGCAATGGATACTCCAAAAGTACATCGAGCGAAAGGGATAAGGAAAATGTAAGCGATGGGAACTCGGTATGAAGGTTAACAGTCTAGAGACACAAAATGAATGCAAGAAAACCATTGATCTCACAAGTGAACCATATTGGATGTTCGCTCTGGGTAATGATGTGATACGATTGACGCAAAACCACCCATGCCGAGATTTCCGGGAGATGTTCAAACGTGTTTTTGCCGTCATTTGTCACCAACTCCGCGGTGCAGCGACGACAAAGGAAGAGGCAGTTGGCAGATGCTCAGAAAAGATAACTAACTGGCGAAATGCGGTAGTGCTCACTCGGTCTTCTACCAGATATGTGTAACAGCATGCAAAAACTCATGACCATAGACATTCGGTTTCTTAGTGTGCAGAGTGCGTAGCGCCCTGTTCTGGAGTCATAAAGCGACAAGAGCAGCATTGCAACGTACACCTCCTGCAATAACTGTGGAAACTCCAACGTGTCTATAGATGATTGAAAAGTCGAATGACAATATGGATGTTGCTGATACGGTCAACAGCTTCCTCACTGACAGGTGGTGGAGTGATTCGGACGGATGGCTAGTAGAATTACGGACTACGATTCTGGAGCAGCGTATATTGAAACGACCGAACAGCATCCAGGCACGCACGTCACCGCTGGTGGGTGGGCGGTAGAGAAGCAAGAGCAGGAATTTCCGGTGTACTGTTGGTGCTCTCCTCAAATTGCAACTTAGTGATGCATTCATCAGGGGTGATGCAAGTCCGAGAATAAATTACACGATGGCCTAATTCGTGGTGACAGTGCGAAAAACCACTGTCTATAAGATATTAAACTAGAACTTTAACCATTAAAGAGATGAAGCACAAGCCAAGACGTAAGCGTTGTGTGGAGGCCGGAAGCAACTCTAAAGAGCTGGCAATCGATCATTCCAAAGAATCTCAGATCTAGAACAGGCTATGTGAGTAGAGTCAATCATGATCATCTCTACACCTAGTTGTTCCAACAATCAATTATAAAAGACTAGATGGTCAGTGAATAGTGTAGGGGAGCATAGACAAGTGACGCTTTAAAGGTTACTATTTTCTTAAATACAAATAACTCGATGGAGAATAAAACCCCGGATTATTCGTTATCTTTCAACACGCTTATAACCGATTGAGAAGTCATCGTTACAGGTTTTGTGAACATCACGCTAATGTGTTGCAGGGGTCACAACACCTCGCTTCTGCCTAAAGAGCTTTTCCATCGAAAGCGAAAGGTAGACCCAACAAATACATTCAGTCACAAGGACACTGGACCGTAACGTGGTGCGGTCGGCCCGTAGCCTAGAGGTAAGGAGCTTATCTAGTAATCTTGCGGAGGTTTCAAATCCGCGTAGGGGTGGGCGTCCTCGCGGTATACTCAGCCCGCGTGCGACTGGTGGTGGTCGCACGGCAGCGAAGCGCCGTTACGGAGTATAGCTGACACATTAGTTATTTTATTAACGTGGTGCGACGGTTTGCGTACCTCATTGATTCATTGAACTATACTGGGTAGTGCCCCCGGGGTCCCTTGGGAGTTACTCCTACCGGGTTGGTCAATGGTCAGATGTCAGTCTCCTAGTCCACCAAGTTGGCGGATCGGAATGGAATGGCGCCCATTACCGTAAAACTATATCAATACTATCTCCCCGCTGTCTTGCGGACAGGCTTTTGAACCAATCTTTGATTGATGACCCTAATCGTTCTCCTGTCTAGGCCTCGGCGTCCTGGCAGTATCTCCACAAAATCCAACCATGTCCTGCATCGGCCGTCGCGAAGCTTATCAACGGTTGCCTTATCTGCTGCATACAGCAGGGTGGATAAGTGAAAACATGTTAGTGCCGGCGCTTCCCTTCATTCCTTTCCAAACGTTTCTCCTACTCCCTTCCCAACCCCCATTACTAACCTTCCTTCAATAATTCCCAACTTAATTGACAGCAACCGTTCCACAACTAGAGTGGAACCATCTGCAGCTACCTTCTCGCAACATTCACTAGACGCCCATCGGTAACAATCCAGTATAACGCCACGCTGTCCCGTTTTCCTAGTGGCGTTCAACTTTCACACTAAGACAAATAAGACAACAGGCTGCACTCGCACGCAAGTTGGACACACTGGGTATTGACGTGTGTTGTGTGTCCGAAACTAGGATAAACGACCCTCACGGGGTTGTTAAATTAAGTGCGCCTGGCTTGTCCTCTCGCTATTGGTAGCACGTAACAGGAGACGCTGATTCGACAACCATTGGTCAAGCTGGAGTGGGCATCGTTTTCAACTCTAAGGCTGAGTCATCGTTGGTTAAATGGATTTCCGTGAGCAGCCATTTCTGTGCAGACCGTTTGACGACATCAACTAAGGTGGATTCATGAAGTAGTACAAGACGCTGTTTGTTTGTGGTTTCCACTTATCCCCCCACCGACTGAAGCTCTAATGCTGCAAAGGACGCTTTCTACCACGAACTGGACATGCATTTTGGGTGTCGTTCTGGAGTGTGCTGTTAATGATAGTTCATATTGCTGTTTCTGACGCTACAACGTGACACAAACATTCCTGATAATCTTGTAAGAGTACTCGGACTCTGCTTGAGATTGCTTGAAACGGTCCCACAATTGGAGTCTTCTGTTCATCAGAGATCACAATTCACTGTCAACCCAAGATAGACCCCTATTGAAGGACTTTCTACGGGAGAAAGGAACGAGCTGCTCAATTAGGGACGTCATTTTGGAGAGCCCAAGGTTCCACGCATCAGCAAGAGGAATGGGATTAGGAATACTCCAGTCCATAGCGCTTGCGGCTGTTCTCAGACGGAGTGGATCCGCATGCCAAAAGTTCCCACGACAACCACCTTGGCTATGGATCGTGAGGCGACGTGTCCATTGGAATGAAACGACTTTTGCCGATGGGTGGAAGAATTGTTAGATTCGTGATATCTGACTGAGCTGGTGTGAACAAAAGGTCCAGAATGTTTGGCGTTTGGTGGGCAACAATGCGGGTTGGCATGGTGACATGCTGAAACAAATTACAATCGATAACTGTCTCAAGTAAGGTAGCATCAAAGGACGACCACAAAGAAATAAGTCCCAATCGATATTAGGGGCATTAAACCCCCCACGATAAGATTATCCCTTCCTGCACCGTGTTTCCTGATCGAATCGAGCAAGTGAACCCCGGATCCCGATGGCGCTCTGTAGACAAAATCAACAGTGAAGGATCTGCATCCAGCATGAATACGGCACCAAAGGGCATCGAAATCACCATCGTCGTCAATAGTAGCTGCCACCAAATGAGCATAGCATAATGGATCTCTGAAGCACGCAAACCATTGCACCACGGTAAGGTCCAGCCTCATTGCAACTTGGGCTGTAGTTGGCACTGCGGAGCGTCCAGTCCGCCAATGGCGATCAATGAGATTTTGACAGCATGATTGTGGTACACAAGGTTGTTCATTGAGTTGTAGAGAGCAAGAGGGAAATCCCTTGTCAGCTCCATCGATTCCGTATCATATATATATATATATATATATATATATATATATATATATATATATTATACACAATCTGTGGTACAGATATTGTGCCATCGGAATCATGGCTGAATAGGAAAACAATATGAATAATAAGAAAAGAGCAACAAGAAATGCTTTTTTGTCAAGTTTACCACTCACAGTTTTTGAAATTTTTTTCAGTTTGTTCTTTTTTAGGGGGAGGAGGAAGGGACACCGCAACACACTGATGCACACGTCCGCCATTGACATCGATCTTGAGCCATAACTTCCAAGGTTTTCAACCAGCAAGTATCCTCGTCTCTCGGACCCCAACCAGGTAGTCGACAACAACCGGCCGAGGCCAATTGTTTCGTCAACTTTTTCATGCGGCTTCTCCATGTTGTAGGCTGTCCACCAGACCGTCTCTTCCAGCCCTGTCCAGCAAGTGCAAACAACGCACGACGGGGGTAACGCTGGACAGGCATGCGCAATACGTGTCCCAACCACCGCAGTTGATGCAGTGAGATGAGCTCCTCGAGCGAGTGGCTTCCACGTCCCAAGACACGCTGTCTAACTTCCACATTGCTTACGTGGTGCTGCCACCACACACGGGCAATGGATCGCAGACAGCGGTGCTAGAAGACGGATAGCCTGCGCAAGTCATCTTTACGAATGGGCCAGGTCTCGCATCCGTACAACAGTACAGCACGAACAGTTGCACAATAGATCCGCCCTTTGATGGAGAGACGAATGTCGTGGCGACGCCACAAATGCCTCAGCCTAGAAAAAGCGAGGCGTGCTTTCGAGATGCGCATCGAAATCTCGTCTCCAACAGCCCCGCCAGCAGTGATGCAACTTCCCAAGTAGACAAAGCTCTCCACAACCTCCAGTGTCTCACCAGCAAGCGTGAGTGCAGGCAGAGGCACCTGCCAGTCTTGGAAGAGAGCCTTGCATTTGGATGGCGAAAAGCACATACCGTACTTTGATGCTTCAATCGTCAAGCGGTTTAATGCAAGTTGGACGACCTGTGGATCGTCACCCAGCAAGACGATATCATCAGCATAATCCAAATCAACAACTCGACTACCTGGGAGGAGCTCAACGCCAGCGTTCAACGAATCGCTCAGAGCGTTCTTCAGGACATCCTCAATGGCAAAGTTGAATAGGAACGGAGAGATAGGGCATCCTTGTCGAACTCCACTGGAGACCACAAAGGTAGACGAAAGCATGCCATAAGCCCTAACCCTGCCC